CTCATCTCTACTGAACGCATTAGATGGCTAACATAACAGTGAAGATTTAAATTTAACAAACTAGAATCTGGGGAATGGAGGCCCAGGACATAAGCCCAAACTATGAATTCATGTTTCCTCCCAGGTGGCAGGCATGTTGTCTTTGTTAGGGTTTCTGCAATGAAACACCATGAACAAAAAGCAAAGGGTTTATTTGGCTTATACTTCCACAGTGCTGTAGCCAGGACAGAAAGTCTAAGGGAGCAGAAACCTGCAGACAGAAGCTGATGCAAAGGCCATGGAGGGGTGCTGCTTAATGGCTTGCTCGGCCTGCATTCTTCTAGAATGAAGGATCACCACCCAGGGATGGCACCATCCATCATGGGCTGGGTCCTCCCCCACTGATCACTAATTAAACAAACAAACGCCTTACAGCTGGATCTTATGGAGGCATCTTCTCAACCTTGGTTCCCTCCTTTTACATAACTCTAGTCTGTGTGTCAAGTTGACATAAGAGCAGCAACACACTGAGGCGGGGCAGCATTTCCAGAGGCATCTTGTGACAAGAGGGACAAGTACTAGAGTCCAGGACCCACCAAAATTAATGTCCCAAGAAAACCAGGCTGTGATTTTGAATGAGAAAGAGGCAGGCTTTTGAAACCAATGACCTTCAAATCACCTCAACCCATGAAACTGGTTTAAATTAATCTCGGGGTGCTAGTGTCCCCTGACTCTTGGTAAAAAGCAAAGCAAATCTTTATAGAGGACAGTGGGATCTTCTGAGGCCTCAAACTATTCCTACTATTAGCTTTGTAAGCATGTCCAAACCAGGAAGAAAGACTAGCAAGAATTGTCAGAACAATGGTCAACAGAATTAACAACAGACTCTATAAACTCCAGATACAATGTTATCAGAGGTACACTTTAAATACACACAATTTCTAGTGCATGGAAATGGGGGGCAAGGCTGAGAAATTCAGAAAGTATTTGGGGGGCTGGAGAGATGTCTCAACACTTCCGGTTCTTTCAGAGGACCCAGGTTTGGGTCTCAGCAGCCACATGGTGGCTCATAATTAATTCCAAGAGATCTGATTCCTCTTCTGACCTCTGTGGGCACCTGATTACATGTGGTGAACCTACCCAGACACAAACAAATACACACTCGTGCACACACACACACAATAAAGCAAATAGATGTTTTGAGAGAGAGGGTATTTGCAAATCAGGGAAAGGAACTCTAACAAATGAATTTAATGTCATAGGTGGTTTCCATAAGACAGGAAATCAGGGTGAAGTAAAGCCATAATGAAGTACAGAGAAATGATAGGGTGCAAAGGACAGAGCAGGAGGAGAGAGTAGGGAGATAGTTGGCTGGAGCTGACGAGATGGCTCAAGGCTTAAGAGCACTGTGGCTCTTCTAGGGACTTGAGTTCAAACTCCCAGGACCCATACCAGGTGGCTTGCAAGCATCTTTTACTGCAGCCCCAGGGGTCCTAACACTCTCTTCTGGTCTCCACTGGCATTGCCCTTACATACGCATACTCACACAGAGACAAATACGGACATTAAAAAATAACTTTAAAAACTAAGACAAAATAACAACTCAGTGAATATAAGCAAAGGCATTACTAGGGACAAAGAACATTTCTTAGTCATAAAAGTTCAATGTAACATAAAATTGAACAGTTTCACCTTGAAAATATAAAAAAAAACACAAATAGCAATGAATCTACCTATAGATAACCCCACAGTCACAGTGGGGAGACACTGGCATATCTCTTTCAATATCTACCAAGACAAACAGTCAAATCAGTGTGACAGGAAGGATTCCAACATGTTCAGCAGCCAGAAGCTATTGAGCCCCACAGAGGTAATTAGGAATAAAACTGCAATGAGCATCTATTTATGTCCATGTTTTGATGGCAAAACAATAGAGAAATCAAGGGCATTTTCCTATGGAGTTGGGATGGTGATGTCCGCTGGGAGGACAGGTGGGATATTCAGGGAGAGCAGCCCTAATTCTTGACCCAGTTGTTAAGAACACCATAGGTCATTATCTTGAGAGAGATCTTGGAGAAAAAAGCCAAGGCACCAGGACAGATGGCCTCAGTCTTTCCAATCATGCATGAGGCAGGGCCTCCTAGAGAGATTCAGAACCTGAGAGCCCTGGGCAAGATGTAGAATGACCCATTAGAAATATGGTGGCAACAAGTCCATTGGAGTTGGGAAATGATTGCCAGGAAAACTCTGTCTTACCCAGGGCACAAACTAAAATGCCCGGAAGGAAGAGTCAGACATTCTGCCTGTGAGGTGGTTTAGAGGGTCAGGAGGGACAAGCCCATTCATCGGTAGTGTCTAACCCCCATCCCAAAGTCTAGACAGACATGCTTGGATGTAGCAATGGTGCAGTATGGACAGTGTGTCGTGCAGGGGCAGCGGCCTCTTTGTTCTAGGCAATAAACACCCCAACGCAAGCAATTACCCCATGGCGGTACAAGGCAAGCTAAAAATCTGGGCTTCTAAAAATGATTTTCTGTTTCTTACGTGTTGAAAAATATATCACATTATCATAAATATGCATCAGGAAAATCAAAGCCCATTCAATGGCCCAGGTGAGTTTTGCGGTGTGAGGATGCTAGGTGAGACGTTGGGAATGTTGTGGAATGTGTTCCCTTAGGTTGGACCTTCCTTTTCTTTTCTTTTTTTTTAAGCTTTTAAAAGAAGCTTTTATTTTGTAGCATGTGCATTACAGGAAACAAAACACAAGAAGCTAAGAATAGTCTCCCAGTCACAAGCAGTTCAGCCTGATGTGTCCTTCCAGATGCTGCAAATGTACATACATTTAGGGAATTGAGATTATACAGTATGTACCAAGTTGGACCTTCTTTGTATCAAATTCAGGGTGTGACAGGAAAAGAGGATCCAAAAATACAGGAGGAATCACCCCAAAGTCTAAAAGGGCATAAGAACCCAGGGACCAGAGTTGTAGCTTCTATGGAAACAAAGAGAAGCCAAGAGAGATGAGAAAGGTAAGATAGAAAGTTGGGGGCTGGTAAGATGACTCAGCCAGTAAAGATGCTTGCTGCCAAACCAGATGACTTGAGTTCAATCCTTGGGACTCAGATGGTGGTAGAGAGAACTGATTCCCACAGTTGTCCTTTGACCTACACACACACACACACACACACACACACACTCACACACACACACACACACACGGTGCACATGGCATATGCATGTAAATGTAATAAAAGTTAAAAGAAAATGAAGGAAAAGGAGAAAGATGAAGAGGAGAAGAGAAGGAAGAAGAAGAGGGGGAGAGAATGAGGAAGAGAAGGAGGAACAAGAGGAGGAGGGAGAGGAGAAGGAAAAAAAGAGGAGGAAAGTCTGAAGAAAGAGCTTTAGAACACAAGGTACTCAGAAAGAAGCCTTTCTTTGTTACCAACAGTCTTTACTTTCATTATCATCGGTTCTCTCTCTCTCTCTCTCTCTCTCTCTCTCTCTCTCTCTCCCTCCCTCCCTCCCTCTCTCTCTGTCTCTCTCTCCCTCTCTCTGTCTCTCTCTCCCCCCTCTCTCTCCCTCTCTCTCTCTCTGTCTCTCTCTCCCTCTCTCTCTCTCTCCCCGATCTTCAAGGAACTTCAGGTGTGAGTCAAACAGAGCCGCCCTAGAGCCCCAGAGCCATGCTGCTCACTCGTGCTCTCCTTCCTTAGTGGGCCCCAAACGGTACCCAACTCATCCACTGAGTCTTTCTGGATACCTCAGTGGTCATGGCTAGCACAGGGCCTGTGTTCCATCTGCTAGGCTCCCTATGGTTGCCTTCCAAGAAGTAGGTGCTGGAGCTGAGGTAGCAGAGAGCAGTATGAGGGAGACTGGTCAACAGGCGAGCAGCTGGAGGGAGGCTGGCCCCGGGAACAAACAGCAGACCTCAGGGAAATTAGGCTTTGGCTGAACAAAGTTCAGCCTTGTTTTCTCAGAAAGCAGAGCTGGGGTGAGCCACCCTAAAGAACAGGCAAAAGAGCAATCGAGCTGAATGTTGGCTTCCAAGCTTCCTAGGCATGACAGGCTTGGCCACCCAACAGTGACCAGAGCTATTGCTGTGCCCCTTGGGGAAGAGAACAGGCAGCAGCTCTGGGTGAAAGGACCTGGGAGATGGCTCGGTGGATGAAGTGCTCGCCATCCAAGCATAATGACAGAGTTCTGATCCCCACTTTAAAAAATCGGTGTGGTAGTGTGCAGCAGTAGCAGCATCCCTGGCGGGGACAGAGTAGGTGAACCCTGAGAACTCAAAGGTCAACCAATGTAGCCATCGGAGAACTTCAGATACAGCAAGATACCATGTTTCAAACGCTTTGGTTGAAGCCCTAACAAACGGCTGAGAAAAGATGTGTGAAGCCACAGCCTGAGCCCGATTCCTGGGACCTACGTGGTGGGAGAGAGCTGATTCCCACAGCCTGACTTGCAGCACCCTCAACCCTCACTACCCACCCCCCACCCACACCCTCCCCAAGCCTCTCCGAGGCTCTGGGGTCTCCCTGTTTTCCTCTCCTGAGCTGCGATTACAGGATGCATTCTACCCACTCCTCTCCTCTTATGTGAGTCCTGGAGACCCAAACTCAGCTCCTCAGCAAGCTGTTTCCCCACCGAGCCAATCAGCCATCTCTCCATCCCCTGGGACTATCTATTCCCAAGTGCTGTGTGCAATGGGTTCAGCGGATGAAAACTCTGATGAGTCGGGACAGCATGGCCTCTTTCCCCACTGGGTGTGCGCCGCCCACCTCCACAGCTGCCTCTGTTTCTAGCCCAGGCCTTAAACTTCATGACCTCCCCTCCCCCCAGGCCCTAAATCACTCCCAGACCCCTTGTTCTTCCCCCACAGCTGCTCAGCAAATTCCTTGATTTGAAATTATGATCACAGTTTGGAGAGCTACTTAAAATAATTTTGCCAAATGTTCCGTCTCTGCATTGATGAATATAATGGAGTAGAAATCCCAAGAGGAAAAAAAAATTAAGAATTCACTTGGTTCAGAAAAAAAAGTCACAGCTTACAACACAATACTAGCTTACATCTAAGGCTTCTTTCCCCCAGGAAGTTGGCTGTACTCTGACCTTCAGTGAGCCCTGTGCCAGCAAAGGTGGGGGGGGAGCTGTTGGTGGGTAAGGCCTGCTGCAGATGCAGGGAGCAAAGGTCGGGGGTGTGTTGGGTTTGTTTAAGCATGAGTCAGAGAAGTGGGGGTCGATCCCAGGTCTCGGATTTCCAATTTCCTGTGCAAGCCACTGAACACATAGCGCTCCGTCCATCCCAGCAGGTTTTCATGCTGCCGCTCTGTGGAACAAAGGCAGATACTGTATGAGGGCACACACATAAATAACCCAGTCAGGCCACCGCTTCCTTCTCTAAGGGAGACATCTGTAGAATCCGGAATCTGCAAGAAACCAAACTCTAAGAGAAGCAGGGGGAAAAGTCGACCACTGTCTGGCTTCTTGGTCATCAGAGGCCCTGAGCCTTCCCATCCTAATTACTATTCCTTAGGAGGCCTGGGCCCTTGGCCAGTCCCAGCCAGCCTGTGGTCAGGGGCTAGCTGTTCCTTCAGGACAGCCCTGCAGCTCAGACTCCAGGCTAGAGATCACAAGGGACTGACCATGTGTCAGAACAGAGTTCCTGGTCACTCCATGTTCTCCTTCAACAGGCTGGCCCCATGAAGGACCTTCCTCCCATTTTCCTGGGGTTTCCTCCGGCTTGGGACTGGAGAAGTATATGGGGAGGTAAAGGCCCAAAGAGGTGGTTCTATACCTACATAGCTCCCTAGGAACAAGGAGGCACTTGATAGAGCGGGCCTCAGGGTTAGGCCAGCCTGTAGCAGGATCCAGGAATCAATAAGGGACACAAGTCTACTGGTCACCTTCGACAGATACTGTACTGGGAAGCCCTGTTAGGTATAGCACACAGCAAAGCCCTGGCCTCTGAAAAGAGTGTTGTCTCTAAGGGTGTTTGCCTGTCTGGAGTAGTACACTTTGAGGTGTCTCCTAGAGTCAGCCGGAGACCCCTGGCTGCTGGTTCATTGAGTCTGGGAGTGGGACTCTGTGCACTCCTAAAATAACAGATGAGATGACCCCTGCTACCTCCCTCAGTAGGCATCACCCAGAAGCTCCAGGGCCTTTGAGGTACAGGGACAACAGACTCCATGACTAAATGAGTCCACAAGTCTTCTGTTTCCAAAGCAGGAAAGGTCTCTGGCCCTTGTTTGAGCCTCTGTTTCCTCATCTGTTGAATGGGCACAGCTCTATCCACCTCACTATTTGATTTGGAGGGTGAGACAAACCTGCCTCATGGGTAAGCACCAGTCTACAGGAGAATGGCTCTGGAAGAGGCCAAAGAACACCAGGGCAGGAGTGGGGTGGGCAGAAGAGATGATCCATGCATCTGGATGGGAGGAGGAAGCCTCTTTCTACGCAGGGGTCTGTTGGTCCTATTTTACAGGGCTGTCGGCTATGATCTTCTAACCTGTTTCCCTCCAAAGGGACCTGACCTCAGCCCAAGGCGGGCTCAGCTCCAAATCCCACTCCCCCTCCCTCTTTCTCATGGGACTCTGACCCCAGGAACCTTTAAGCACCTGTCCCCTCCAGTCACCGCTGCTGGAGACAGGAAACAACTTAGATTCCTTTGTCTCTGTGCCTTTACCCCCACTAGTCCATGTGCCCTGAGAGGGGCAGAAGGGCCAGCTGCCCAGAGGAGATTTTATCACTAACATTGTTTGGAATTACTAGTGCTTGGCAGTTTAAAGTCTACAATACAGCATGGCCTTGAGCCTGGATTATTACTGTCTTCTAAACTCTGGGGGACAGCATGTTTCTCTTCTACAAATAAGGCAGACCCACCATGCCCACTTCTGTGGTTCTCCTAGGTGACCTTCTCCCTTCTCTTCTTATGCCCTAGGCACAGAGGGTGATTAACTCTCTTGCTCATGTCTCCCTGAGTCGCCCTTAGTGTGTGACGAGGGTCCTCAGGCCTCCTCTTTCTTCTCACAATTTGTTCTGCTTTTGCAGATGACTGGATTTAAAGAGGAAGTGCTGTCAGCAGACAGGAAAGCCTTAGCTAACACCCCCTCCTGGGAGCCAGTCCCAAGCCCTTTCCCTGGGAGGTGAGAAGCCAGGTAGTGCAAACCTGTCACCCTAGCTATTCCAGAGCTCAGGTAGGGGGATAATGAGTTCAGAGCCTGCTTGATTCATTTAACAAGATAAAGCATTGTCTCAGACATTTAAAAATTAAATAGATAAGGAAACAGCATGCAGGGGGTCAGGGATATAGCTTAATGTTAGAGCACATTCTAGCATGTACCCAGTAATCAATCCCCAGTAATACACATGTACACACACACACACACACACACACACACACACACACACACACACACGGCTTTGACTCTAGTTCCCGAAAGGAGACTCTGAAGAAATTTCTGGAAAGAAAAGACAGAGGCTGTATCCCGCACCACATTAATGACTTGTGACACTGAATCCGGCGTTTACTGCACACCGCCCTCTCATCCGTTCCCTTTTTGGATCCCAAAGCAACCCATGAGCTCGGTCTATTTAGGTTTTTTGTTTGTTTGTTTTATCTACTCTTATTTCACAGCAGAGGAAACTGAGGCCAGAGATGTCTGAAGTCTCCCATCCTCCACCCCAGAGGTGTCCACTGTGCCCTGTGCCGGTCATAATGCCTGTCTGCTTATGCTGTCACCACACCTGGTTGACGCGAATTGCCACCTGTTCCAATGCTGGGAGACCAGCCCTTTGAAAGCAAGCCTGAATCCAACTTCAGGGTTAATGATAAGGCTGAATAACGTAAGGACTGCCCTGCCCTCCCCTCTTTATCAACATGGGACTTAGATTTGAGTGCCAAGCTAAGCCTCTCCACAGCCACATCCTCGGCGGCGACTTATTAAAGAGTAAATCAAAGTTTGCTGGAAGAGAAGAGTAAATACCCACACTCCGCATGCCAGGCTGGTCCTGAGCCCATTTCCTGGTTCCACTGTTGACTTGGGCGGTAATCCTAGATAAGTGAAAACACTCACTGCCCTGGGCCCAAAGGGCAAGTCTGAGGAGAGAGGCCAGGACTGAGCCTGCCCCCACCCCTTACACACACACACACACACACACACACACACACACACACACACACACACACACACACACACACCTGGCAAGACGCTGGCCCTCATGGCTTGCCTCGGAGAGGAAAACCTCAGACAAAAGCAAAGCAGGTGCAGAGCTGTGCACACAGCCTCTTGTCCTTGTGTCTGTGAAGAAGCGGGCCACATGGTGCATTACCAATAGAACCTATCATCCTTTGGCTCTAAGCTCACCCATAATTAGTGGGACTGAGGAGAGAAGAGCTGCACTTTGGGCCTCAGATGGCAGGGCGAAGGAATCAGAGCTAAGTTGACAAGAGTCAACTGTAATCACACGGTGAGCGTTTTCAAAGAAACAAATAAAAATAGCCAGAAGTGGGTCAGCACTTACAGTAAGGTTGGAGGCAGGAAACTGGGACAGACTTCAAGTCCTGCATGGAGGGACAGCAGTTGTGTTTTGTGAATACGGACTTGTGCTATCTTTGGGTTCTCACCCCCTGCTGCTTCTTCCCCCTTCTGTCTTCTGAGTGAGTACACAGGGCCTTAATTCCAATACTCTCAATTCCCAAACCTCTTTCTTCCCCGAGGCTGAAGACAAAAGGTACTTAAAAAGAACTTACATGTCTATAACCCAGAGGTGGATGCAGGAGGATCAGGAGTTCAAGGTCTTCCTCGACTGCATAGCAAGCTCCAGGACAGAAGAACTTGTGTCAAGAAAAAGAAATAAAGAATGAAGGAAAAAGGGAAGGAGGAGGAGGAAGAGAGGGAAAGAGGGAGGGAAGGAGGGAGGGAGGGAGGGAGGGGAGGAAGAAGGGAAGGATGGAAGGAGAGAGGGAGGGAGGGAAGGAGGGAGGGAGGGAGGGAGGAAGGGAGGGAGGAGGAAACTAGCTCACAGGAGAGGCTAGTAGGAAGAAATACAGCAAGAGCTTCCTTGCAGTCTCAGCACATGGCACTTAGCTGTCAACAAACAGAAAGCAGAAGACAGTCACCTATCCTGAGTGATCTACTTGGGTCCCAGCAAGAGCACAATTTGCACCAAGTACCGTGAAGTCCACATATTCATACATGCACACATGTACAGGCTACCAGCACCTCCTGTCATTGCTTCTCAGACCTATGGCATCCAGTGTGCTATACAACACATATGATGCACACATAGTACACACACACAAAGCACATTCCTGCAACACACCTTCCTATGGGGCACCCATGCAGTCACAGAAGTAGGCACAGTATCTTTTTACACACATGGTAACTGTGCATTCATGCAAGGTAAACACATGAAGCCCATGTACACATACCTAATACAGTTGGGACTCTGTATCTGTAAGTTCTTCAGTAATGGTATTAACCATCTTCAAATGGGGGGAAGGGGGAGATTTGTGTCTTTACTACGGGCTTTTTCCTCTTGCTGCAATCCCTAAACTATACAGTACAATAGCCATTACTTGGCATTTACACTGTTAGGCACAGTAAGTCTAGAGGTGATTGGTGTGACTATCATATGCAAATACTCACATCATTTTTTATTGGAGACAAGAATCTGCAGATCCCAGAGCTGGTCTTCCATGGGTCCCAGGAACACTGTACTCCTGAACATGCACAGTATGCATCATGGACCCTATGTGCACACACAGTAGGCCTGCATCCCTCTTGCTCTCTCTGTAACCTTAAGGCTTTGGCAGTTAACTTTCATTCTTGGCAGGATTGCACTTCCTGGTGGCCTTAGTGACGTGCTTGGATCAGATTTATCAGACTTATGTGGGAGGGGCACACAATCATCCCAGCTCTGGGTTTCAGGTTCCAGGTCCCCAGGACCAGCACAGAGGAGCTGGCAGAAGGGCATGTTTTGGTGAGAGTCAGGCATGCTTGTTAGTTTTCTGGAGTCTTCAAATACACACTGCTTCCAAATGTTGTCTTTAAAAGAAGTTCTGGAGCTATGCCCAGTGACATAAAGAACACATATGTGCATGAAAACAAGCATGGTCAACATGTGGGGCAAAGCATGTAGGCACCATGAGCGTAGAGGATTTGGAATATAGAAGTGTACTCTGCGGTCCTGTCCATCACTGTCTCTCCTTCATGCAGAAGAGGGGGCGGTTATCCAGCAGTAGCTTCAAGAGCTGTCTATCGGTCACGGGGCCTCTCTAGTTCAAGAATTCAGAGGTGGCCTCTCTCTGGGGGTTAACTGAGCTGTGAAATGTTTGGGGTGCTCAACCAGCCCCACACCTCTACCCAGCAGAGCCTTCCTTACTGTGGTGAGTTACAGCACAAGAATAGGATCTGTTCCCACTTATACCAAAACCTGAGCAGTCCTAGAGCATCTACCCTCAGAGCCTCCCATAGGCGGAGAAGGTGAAGATTCCAGAAAGACATGATGGACTTTTCCTGTGCTCTCAGCCTCTGACCCCAGTGATGGTGTGTGGAGGTATTGGAGTGTGCCTTTAAAAGATTACATCATTTAAAAAGATTTGCTTGTTTATATGTCTAGCCTGGAGAGCAAATTGGGGGTGTGGGGGTGTCTACAAGAATTTGTATTTTTTTGTCTTTAAGTTTGGGTTTTCAGAGGGTGGGATGGGGGTGTTGTGTGAAAAGGAAGCCACTCAGGCCAGATAAACTTAAAGCCGTAAGCAAAATTCCCTTTTAGCTTTTCAAAAAATGACAAAGTCACACCAGAGAGGAAATGAAAAGGGAAATTTTTAGACTTCTCATCTGTCCAGAAAGCCCCGGCTGTGTTTCAGAACCCAGTAGGGTAACTGTCGGGCCTGTGGTCACACAGCAATCCCAGGAGGCCTTGCGTCAGCAGCCATTATATCAATAAGGAAATACAATCACCAAACCACAGCCCCGCTTTTTTTTCCTCTAAGCCCTCATGTTGCTTTAGGAGGGTTTTCAAACAAAAGACTTTCCTGTTGTCGAAACCCGTGAACCCACAGCTCTTCCAGGTTACTTAAATTATCCTACCTCTTACAGCCACCACAGAGTGGACTTCAAAACTTTCTCCTCTCCTTCCCGTGGCTGACAGAGCACTTGCCTCCCTGGAACCCTTATTTACCAAATCCTGTGTCTAACTGCTGACACAGGAGGAAAAACACTAGTTGCATATTAAGCTCTGCAGCAAAGCACCCTGCCAGATGCGTTCAGATGCGTTTAGTCACTGACCTGAAGGGGGATGGCCACAGGAAAGAGAATTCTGCAGAAATGACCCTGTGGTCAGGCAGCGTTGCTCAGCATAACCAGGCGATTTTTCCACCCACACGCACACACTGGCTTGCAAACGTAAGATATCACAGCTCATGGGAGGCTATTGTTTATCATAGGATGTGTTACCAATCTGCTGGAAATTTTTAGCTACAACCTAAAGGCAGCCCCAAACACTTTATGAGGTTGCTTGTCTGAATTGCTGGAAAAAGCAGAGTGGGAAAGCGTAGGTGGAGGGCTCTGCAGGGGCACGGGTGAGCGATGTCAGCTCTCCAGGACAGCTCCTTTGTGCATGCAAGATTTGTTTTTCCCTTGAGCCAACAGGAAGATGCAGATGAAAAACTGCATTGTGGAGCCATGAGCCAAATCCACAGAGAAATATCTCTTTTCTGCACAGCTCAGCAAAGAATGACTGTGCCAGACCCAACAACTGCACTTGATCGCCATATTCCAGCTTAACTTCCGGCCTGGACAGGGGCCACTTGACTCTGTTCAAGCAGGGCCTGTAGACTTCACCCGTGATCCCTCGCATTGCCTCAAGCATCCGCGCATGTGTGTCAGGCAGACCTGAAGCTAACGGAGGGCTTCCGGAAGGTAGCTCATTCGCTTCAGTAGCCAGTTGCACTGAGGATAACTGAGGGTGAACTGTATTCTGCAGCCACGGCCAGTGATCTTCCCGCCCACTTCAGTCTCCAACACTTATCTAACCTCACACTTTCCAGCCTTCTTGGGTTAGAATCAACACTTAGCTCATCAGAAAAACACACGTTTTCCAAAAGACAATCTGCTCTCACTTTGAGCACATGGGTGTTTTGTTTATTTTTTGTTATTTATTTATTTTTCTGCATCCCGATAAATCTGCCAGTGCTACGATGCTGGGACAGATACTCTGAGGCCATTGTGTGGGTATGTTTTTCTTTTTTCACGTTTGAGGGCCACATTTGAGGGTCATGTTAGAGGGCCAGCTCTTTCAAAACAGCTCTGCTCCTCTTTCTTAAGAAATGAATGAGGGACATACCAAAAAAAAGGTCAGAAGTAAATCGATCCCAGGTTATTATCAGCCTATTGTGTCATAGTGTAATGCACCCGTAGGGGAAGGTTTTTATTTTTCTTTCTAATAATAATTCCAGAGAGTTCTAGACTTCCCCCTCCCCACAAGTCTAGTAGACATTTTTAATCTTAGTACTACTCCATGACAAATGACCCACTGTCTTGTCTGGAAAACATCCCGTTCTTCTACCATGTTTTTGGGATAACAATGTTGGAAGAGCCAGCAGGACAAAACGAGAACGAAGTAAACGTAGAATTGTTTTTCCGCCCTTCTCGATGTGGTTGTCGGGGCTCCAAGGCCTGAGTCACCCTGCCTGAATACAGCCGAGTTTGCTGGACAGATGACCACAGCTGTCACCGCACCAGGGGCACAATATTGATTCTCCCCTTGGATGCCACCACCAAGGCCACTTACCCACCAGGCGCGCTGTAGGACTGTGGGGCTACAGGCACCCTGCCTTCTGCATGCCAACAAGGGCACAAGGGGATGCAGGCTTCTCTTGAAGCACAGTGCATTAGGTAGGTCTTCCTGTCACTTCTGGAAGTTCTCCACCGAGGGTTGTGACCAACCCTACTGACTAAGAGCCACAAAACACAGAGGACAAGATGTGCGGGAGGCAGGGAGGGGGATTCTAAGGTGTTTCCTTAGGTTTGTATCCGTAAGCATGAGTTACCTCACAGAGTTATAGGGTACCCTCTCAAAGTATAAAATGCTCTCTCAATTTATTTTATTTAGAAAAAATATCCTCACAGGAACTCTCTGCTACTTTTAGATGTTTATGGAGGTTTTGTAATTTTTATCTTACTTGTTTTTTGTTTGTTTGGTTTTTGTTTTTGTTTTTTTTTTTTGTTTTGTTTTGTTTTTGGTTGGGGAGGCAAATGTGCCATAAGGGCCAGGAGAACAGAGGTCACCTTGCAGGAGTGGTTAGTTTTGTTCCACCACGTGTGAGGCCTATCCTTAGGTTTGCAGACTCAGTGACGAATGTCTTTTTTGTTGGTTTCTGTCACATTAAAAAAAAAAGCATGAAAGTGTTTGCAGATATTCTTGAAAGCATGGCCTCCAGTTCTTTGCTAGATGAGTCTTTGCAAACTCGTTTTAAGTTTTCGCTGTGAACACTTTCAAGTATGTCATAAGAACGCAGCTGAGCTCTTCCATCCATGGCACAGATGACCAGCACCAGAACCTCTCCAAGTCTGCTTTCTGTTTTGTTTCTCACAGTTTTCTCTGTTTTAAGAAAGCCCCACATGGAAAATGAAAAATTTAAGGAGATGGCACAATAACTCAGTGGGTAAAGGCACTTCCCACCCAACTTGACAGCTTGAGTTTGATCCCCAGGAACTACAAGGCGAAAGGACTGTCTGAATGCCACAAGTTGCTCTCTGACCTCCACACATTAGCTGAAGCATGCATGCAAGCACGCTCGTGTGCGCACACACACGCACAGGCACACATGCACACACGTGCTCGCACGCACACACACATAATTT